GATCAATACTAATTAAATAATATGAACTACTAGAAAAAAGGCCTTTAATGACGTGCAATTTATGACGCGCACGAATTTACAATACGCAAAAGCATGTGACGTCAAAATAACGTCATCTCTACAAAATTTTTAAGGGTTTTGGACGCGCATTTTTACGTGCCCTAAAATTTATGTCAGAAAAAAATAAAAATAAAAACACGGAAGGCACCCATCATAAAAGGCATGTCGTGTATGTATGTCGCTTTATAATTCTTGAATGCGCTTCCAGACTATTTATTTTATCAAAAAAATCAAAGGGATCATTCTAGGGTTCTTTTAAAGATGGGAGTGCTCTCTACAACGTTCTCTACCTTGGCTCACCTCATCTACCAACAATCTCGACTCATCTCTTTTCACCGGCAAGCTTGGGCTAACCTTACCTCGACGGAGACCGCCACAGATGCTCAAGTTTACAAGCCCTAGGTCAGGTTTAACGAACATCAGATCTTCTTTGTGATCTGTCTTGCACAACAAGCCTCCTTGTGTTGATCAGGAGTCACAGGGCTTGATTCCGAGAGTTCAATGACCATTAGATCTTATTTCACCCCTCTCTCCGTGCATTTTGTAAATTCCTCTCTAAATCCTCTCTTTGATGTCGATATCTCTATCTAGCCGAGAAAACAAAGGAGAAACATAACTGATTTATTTGGTTGCCCCTTATCGGAAAACACACACAAACACACTTTTTATGTGTGCTTTCTTTTTCCTCATTCCTAAGCCCTGACTTCGACTCGGAATCCTACATCTCTGATCTACGAACCTTTGTCCCCTTTGAAACCCTAAGATCAGACCGTCTTCTCAAATTAGGGCTTGTGGTATCGATTAAAAACATGTATCCCACCGCATCCATCATCCATCAAAACATCTATATCCCAAAACGATTGTTTCTTCTTCAAAACCCATTGAACGAGAGTGCGTATGAAAAGTTAGAGAAAAACATATGGCATGCAGAAGGTGAAGCATATTCATCCAGTGGATCGTGATTTTTGGTCAAGATAACCCCATTTTCCTATTATAGGTCAACTGCAATCCATTATATGTCCTTCGCCTCTTCCCTTGTTCCCCCAATTCCTTCCCTATGCCACCTTCCTCTCTCTTCTTCCAGCGATACCCCAATTCCTTCATCAGACTCATCTCCGCTGCTTCACCAAGCGCCTCTCTATTGCACTGATCTTATTGTTTTCTTAGAGTTGGCAATTTGAAGTGTATAAGGTATTTGATTGAACGTTTGACTCTTTCTGTTCCCCTGATTCAGATTATTCTAGCCCTAATTCGTTTTTTTTCATAGCCCTAATTGCATTTTTTACATTCTTTTGCCTATATCAGCTAAACACTTAACCATGTTTCATAAGATACTTAAACACAACTGTGTTACCATATATTTTTACAATTTGTAATGTTGTGCTTGTGGTGTGATAGTAAACCAGCAATTTTTGTTAATATGAAAAAAAAATCAAAGTTTGAAATGCCCTTGACTGTGCAAATTTGTTTATATACAATCTGGTCTTGTAAACTTAGAGTTGGCTTGCACCTGGTTCATAAAATAGAGTACCTAATCTTTTTGAAGATTTCTTATGATATCTAAATTGCATGAAACTTTTCAAAAGAAAATTAAACTAAATAATTAGTTGATATTTGCATTTAAGTATAATAACTTAAATTTTCTATTAATTGATGCTGATCAACTTTTTGTATTGAACGAGATCTTGAAGTGTTTATAATATTGTTTGGCATCTATCTTTTAATATGCCATGTAGGAAATAAAAGCTGATTGGTAAAGGGATGCTTCATCCCTACTTGTTGCTATTGGTTCTCATTTACCAGACCTTGTAAGTAGATAGAAACAGTCAAAAAGAATATCATCATTCTTTCACATCTATCTTTGTTCCAAAATGTATGCACAAAACTCAACTCTTCAAGAAACTCAGCAGAAAGAGGCATCCATTAAAACAATGGTTGACGACCCTGTAAAATCAGAGCACACTCGGTGGAATGCAAAGGTATATATTTTCTCTCCTAGATTTCTGACTTGAATTTGAGATTAAAATTTGTAATTTCTTTTGCTTATTTGATTCAGATTATATTAATGAGTGGACTCAGTCAAAATGCTTTGATTCAGATTTTATTAATGACTTGAATTCCCCATTTTTGCAACATGATTAGGTTTGCTTCTCTTAAAAATGGGAATACTTTCAAGGCAATTGGAGGCTTGTGGGAAACCACAGATGGCAATGATCCTTCAGTTGACAAATCCACTCTTGTTCACACTGCTCTTAGGTTTGTTTTTGCATGATAACTTGTATATTCCCTCCCCCCCCCCCTTACAGATTTCTAGTTTATTGATTTATATTGTGTAGGTATGCCAAAGACCTCACAGGACTTGATTTGAAAAATTGCCAACATTGGAATCCTTTCCTCGAGGTAATCCGTTATTGTTTCGAGAGTTTATCTAATTAATTAATTAGATTTTCTTGTTATCTAATCATTTGATTATGTCCATTTTTGCAGATTCATTATGACCGAGTTAAAAAAGATGGAATATTTAGCCATAAGGAGGTCACAGTACTCTATGTTCCTGATTTATCAAATTGTTTACCTTCAACATATGCATGGAGGGATCAATGGCTTTCACACAAGAAAGCTATTGTTGAGAGAGAGCATCGATATGCTCTTAAAAGAGAGGTATACTGTTACTGCTTCATATTTTACATATATATATATATATTTAAAAATAGATTAGAAAAAAGGACAGATGAAACTAACATATTGAAACTAAAAGTTGTTTCTTCCATCATATGTTTTGGTTTATATAGATAGCTCGAGGAAAGAAGGAAGGATTGAAAGGTAACTAACTTATTGATATTATCATACCTGAAAGTTATTTATTTTTATAAAAATGTTGTAAGTTTACCTTTTATAACTCTGTTGATTCTGCTTAGATAAGGAACCTGGGACACCCAAAGATCTGAAGAAGGATGCAAAATTAGAAAAAGAGAAAGTGCCTGAATCTGATGAGTCAGCATCAAAACTAAAAGAAATGGCAAAAGATAAAGTCAAAGAACCTGCAAAACGTAGGAGTTCATATTAATGCAGTAGATATAGAGAAGACAAATGTGGTTGAGACACCTGGCGAAGGGAATAACTCTGTAGAAAAGAAAACTGGTAGTGGAAAAAAGAAAATTATCAGAAAAGTTATAAAAAAGAAGGTTGTTAAAAAAGATAAAGCAGGAGACACAACCAAACAAACTGATACATTATTAGATTCCAAGAATGTGGGAGAGACTTCTACAGAGACAGAGACTGCAGGTCAAAGTCAAAGTCAAAGTTAAGGTCAAGGTCAAGAGTCAACTGGTAATACTCCTACTGTGAAAACTCTTACAAAAAAGAAAGTTATAAAAAAGGTTCATGTGGTGAAATCTGTTAAGAAAGAAGATGTAGGGACACAATTGAAGTGACACCTGTCAAAGAGAAAGAGAGTTCTGAAATCAAGCCAAAGAGTGCAGATACAGAAAGTCTTACAAGTGTGAAAAAAACTATAAAAAAGAAAATAATAAAAAGGGTTGTGAAAAAAAAAAGGTTGTTGCTAAAGATAAAGTGGTAGATAAATCAAAAGTAACTATTGCAGAGGAACAAAGTGTTGCCCCTGAGCAGAAAAAAGATGAAAAGAAAGGTAAAATGGGTTCCAAAACGAAGGGTATTATTGTCCAGTCTGACAGTAATGAAAAATTGGAAACTGAGGAGAAGTTAAAGGAGGAGAAAGTGAAAAAAGAGAAGGATGTTAAAGGTGAAACAAAGGGTAAAGAAGTAAAAGATAGTAAAAAGGATGAAGAGGTTCCTAGACACCCTGGGTTGTTTCTCTAAACAAAAGGGTGACAATCTTCATAATGTTTTAGCAGCTAGGTCAAAATTGTTTATTATATCTAAAAAGACCTAGTAAATCCATTGTAAGTTGCAGATTTTCGATCATATTCATACCCACTACTCTTTCATCATTTCTTTCAAATTCCCACCTTACAATTACGATTTTTAGTGAAAAAATACACGTCTTTGAAAGCTTTTATGGGTACTTCGGTTTGATTTGTACAAGAGCTTTCTCTAATTCTGGTGATTTGCAGTTGTGCACCAACTATTTGTTTAAATGTCTACACACCGATTGAAATCATGCATCATTTATCTGAATTATTCTTGTTGCATGGTTTGTTATTTAGGTTACCACACTTTCTAATGTTGAAGAAAAAAAGAGACTTGAAATTCTGGAAGCAGTGAGCGGTATGATGGATGCCCATCTTCGTTACCTCAAACAGGTAGACAATTCAATTCGATGGCAGCAGTGTGTGTTTGTGGAGCTTTCTAAAATCTAAATCTGAATTATTCTTGTTGTAGGGATATGAGCTTTTGCATCAGATGGAGTCGTATATAAATCAGGTTTGGTATTTATTTTAGTTTAGAGATTAGACATACAGAAAAGAAAAGAAGAATGCATGTTGTGTTTTATTTTAATTTTAATATAAAAAAACTGGGCAGTTGTTGACATATGGTCAACAATCTCAAGAGAGATCAAATTATAAGCAAGCAGCTTTGAACGAAAGAATGCAAGAGTACAAAAGACAAATTGATCGGGAGAGCAGGTGATCATGCAGTCTGCTTCAAAGGGCAAGGTTCAAACCATTCGCCAAGGATATCTTTCCAAGTGCTCCTCAAACCATCTGTAACTCAACTTCCTTTACTTTACTTTAGTCTTTACTTATTAAATATCTATATTTTTATTTTCGACAACAGGGCTCTGGCAGTCAAATATCTGGTCAGAGGAATAGCTCTGAACTCAGTCATGGCCTGCTGAGTCGTTGGGTTTCTTCTCATCATCACCATGGTGGAGGCGGAGTACATGATGAGAAATCTGTTGCTCATCACACTGTTAACCTCTTGACTTCAACTTTGAAGCAGACATGAACTACATTTACATGCAAGATTTCTGTAATTCTTCTCTAACCCTTGCTAAGGCAATGCTGTTGCAAGACCCGGGCCCATGGGGTAGTGATTCAATCTCAATCTCATCAATGGCAGCCGTAGCAGGCACCAGTGAAGTGCAAGGACTTGGCATGGAGGAATTCCATGGGTGCACCCTCCTCCATCTTGCTTGTGAAACTGCAGATATTTGGATGATTGAGCTGCTCTTACAGTATGGTGTAGCTGTGCTTTCTGGAAATAGAAACTTTGAATTGCGTGTTCACCCACTAACAAGAGCCAATTACTTGGCTTCACCTCCCTTGGTTGTAGCTTACGCACTTGTCGGCATGGTATGTGTAAAATTACTCTTCTACCCTCAAACAAAACACACAACACAAATTCATATCATGTTTTGCATGTTGTGAGTTTTAGGTCGAAATTGACTTCGAAAACGAACCAACGGGAGCACAAAGGACGTAAAGAATGCCTACTTTAGAGACGTTTTGCCAAGCACCGAATAAATCGCACATGTATATATATATATATATATATATATATATATATATATATATATATATATATATATATATATATATTAACTTACAAACTGTAGAATGTGTTTAGTAGTGAATCTCATAGGGACAAAATGGTAAATTTGTAGGTGGTTCAATCAATGTCATTTATTAATATTTGAAATTACAGCCTCTCTATGTTTGACTAAAACCTTCTGATTTTGTTGACTTTTTAACTTTGTTTTTGGTTTCATTTAGTAATAAAGTATCAAATATCAATAGTTATGTGGTAGTAATCCTTCTGAGGGGGTGTTTGTTGGGCTGCTTCTTTCAATGTCATTAACAACAGTGGTAAGTAAAATCTTACTATTATGAAACTCTTTTGCTTAAACCTACCATATTGACCTGTAGGTGATTACACATTAATTTAATTATGCAGGTTTTGAAGTTTTTGATGCAAAAGAATAGTGTTAATGCTCTTCATAGAAAAGTATCACATCCAATTGGGAAGTAAATATAAGCATATCTTGCAGGGGTAAAATGGTAATTTGTGTAATTTTATAACCAAACACAAATTACCAGGCAAATACATAAGAACAGGAGAATCTTTAGAGGCCTGTTACAGGCAACAGGGCAAAACCATGTTGAGATCATGTTTGGAGATGATCATCTCCAAACATGATCTCAACATGGTTTTGCCCTGTTGCCTGTAACAGGCCTCTAAAGATTCTCCTGTTCTTATGTATTTGCCTGGTAATTTGTGTTTGGTTATAAAATTACACAAATTACCATTTTACCCCTGCAAGATATGCTTATATTTACTTCCCAATTGGATGTGATACTTTGTGTAGGTTTGGAAGGAACTGGAACTGGCCTTGTTGTACATGAGAAAACTCTTGGAAAGTGAGTTGAATTTGGCTAAGTAATTATTGAGTGAGATGGGCCAATGTACAACTGCTTATCCATATAATCAGCTGTTTGGAGCATTAGTCTTAAAAAATTATGAAAGGCAAGATGAAACTTTACTTAGTTGGAATTTGATGTACATAGTAGATTAGATGCAAATTTATATATTGTAAGAAATACAATTGTATAACATTAAATTTATGCAATGGATTCTATTTTTTGTATATCATATTTTATTTTCTATTATGAAACATTAAATACAAATTTAATTTGAAAATAAGTAAATCTATAAATAATATTTTTTTTAAACATTTAAAATTATGATACGCAAAAATGTGTGTCATCTTCATTTATGACATGGCCTTTCTTGACAGGGGCTTTCTTGATACGCATTGCGTGTCATTAACACGCGCGTTGTAAGGTTACGACAAGCGAATGCATGTCGTCTTCCTTTATGACAGGGCCTTCCTTGATACGCATTGCGTGTCGTAAACGCGCGTCGTAATTGCGCATCGTAAATGAGCGTCGTAAATGCACGTCGTCTCTCTTTATGACAGGGCCTTCCTTGATGCGCATTTGCGCGTTGTCTGATCCTTTTACGACGCGCAATGAGCGTCGTAAAAGGCTGTTTTTCTAGTAGTGATGATTTCTCAATTAATATATTATTCTTATAATATATTAATAAATCACAATTAGCCTGTTTCTCATATATCTTAACTATCAAATTGCTATGGTGAAGGCAACCCAAAAGGACCATGCTACTATCAGGTCAAGTACATACCAATTATAATTATGGCTTAGACACCTAATCCAACAGTCTCCCACTTGGATATGTCTAATAACTATTAATGCTAATGCAACTTCAAAATCCGATTCGCAATTGTAGCTCTTAAAAGCTTCTATCGAACTATAATCTAATCAATGACGCGTCGTTTAGATAAGGGATCATATAATCCTTTGTTCTTCAAGATATCATGTGGAAAAATACATGGAACATCTGTTGGATAAGGTGTCTAAGTCCATAACTTATTTGGTATATACTTGACCCGACCCGGCATGGTCCATTTGGGTTGCATTTCATCCAAACTATTTATGGATAATTTTATGAGAATTATACACATATGATTATTAATATATTATAAGTTATAATATATTAATATGAAGTCATGTTATTTAATTAGTCTTAGTCTTAAATTAATTATGAATTAATTTAGAGATTAAAAGAAGACTAATTAGATTGTAGGCTATTGATTTTATATGGTGTGGGCTAACACCCATTTGTTAATGGGCTAGGCTTGTATAGAAGTCCATGGAGCTTTTAACCCATGGATCCTTGGAAAAGGAAAGGTCATGGGTTATTAGGGTTTCACCCTAATCATGTACACTATATAAGCATGCTTATGTTGCATGAAATAGCCACTAGGGTGTGTGTTTGTGTGTGGCCGAAAATTGTAGTGTGTATACACTCTCTCAAAGTTTTCCAAGAGTTTGTGGTGATTTGTGATTCCATTTGAGGCATTCACACTATTGGTGCTTGGCCCTCAAACTCCTTAAGAATCAAACTCATCAAAAAGGTATGTAATCTCATCTAATTCTTTTATGTTTAAAAGTACCCCATGCCATGTTAGATAGGTTATGAACCTTGGAAAATTATTATTTTGCATGTATTTAGAAAAACATAGATCCAAGGTTTATTAGGGTTGCATGCACACTTAGGAAGTGTTAGATTGCTCAAAACCCAACAGTGGTATCAGAGCCTAGGCTTGCTTGCATGATGTACTCGCCGAGTCCATGGGGGGACTCGCCGATTCCAAGGCAAAATTCATCCTACTCGCCGAGTAGGTTCGTGCACTCGGCGAGTAGAAGGTTCAGAATGCAGATTTTCGACTTTTGCTGCTGGAAATGGACTACAAACTTTACCCGAAACTGTTTTGATGTTTTAAAACTTATTTTAGTTGGTGTAATGGTTGTTCTAATCCATTTACAATAGCATATATCAAAATATCATGCTTTGTATGTGTTCATATAATTTTTTGAAACTTTGATAATCATATTCATGTTCTTATGAATTTCGAAGATGATAGGAATTATTTGCTGAATTGTTTAGGAATAATTCTTGATCATTTATGTGTTTTGATGGAGTCCATAATTTGTCCTCAAGTTATGGATATCCAAAGGTCACTTTTCTTTAACACACATTAAAAACACATAAGTTACATAAAATGAAGAGTCTTCATTTTATGAACCTTTAATTCATAAGTTATGAAATGAAAAGTTTTGAAGAGTTACAAAACGTGTCCTCAAGTTTTGGAATTTGGAAAAGTTTCACACACTTAATAAACATTAATTCCAACACTTAGAATTTTAAAAGTTAAAATTCAACACTTATACTATTTATAACATTAATGGTTAATTATATATATATATATATATATATATATATATATATATATATATATATATATATATATATATATATATATATATATATATATATATATATATAAGAACAAGCCGTTTTACCGTTAGTAGGCCTCATTCACGAAGCCGGTCTATAAGGTGGGTATAAGGTTGTTGCCTATAAAATGGCGACTTAATGGGTGTATACTCTCACCCACCGCTTGCTTGACTGGTGGAGGGTCGTTAGCCGAACGGGTAAGACAAAGACTTATAAATTCTCATTAAGTATGATGAATATTATAAAGTAACTAAATCTTTTATTTAATTCCCAATCTTAGTTACTTTAGGAAAAATGTGAACATTGTGCTAATCCGTGGAATTCACACTTTGTACCTTACCAAGTAGTTGGTGGAGCGTGTGTGGTTAACCGGCACACTAACTTGGACTAGTAAGGATCACGAAGGGTGACTTAATGTTTGTCATAGATCAATGGAGCGTGTGTGGTTAACCGGCACATTGATTAGGTGATAATATTAAGGGTACCAAGTGAATTGGCATGGTTATGCACACCTTGTTTTGTGATCCTCGGCATCCCAGTCACAAAACTTGAAGGGCATAATCGAGATTGAAACATGCCATTGAAAAGTTCAATGAATCTCAAAAGAATCTAGGAATTTTAAATCCAATTAAAACCTAATAAATCATTTCGTTTTCGTGGTGGAAATTGGTGAATCGTCATTCACCTACCTTTCAAATATATTACTACTTAGATTACGACATCCCTCTTCTAAGTATAATATATTGTGATTGGATCCTAGCCTTAATATTACATTTGGGTGTCTTATTAAGGACTCTATATATCTAATCTAAACTTACTTTCTTCTTTCAGATGTCTTCCAACACTAATGCTTCGGGCTCTAACCCAACTGGTGCTTTCTCTCTCATGAATCTTTGTGGGAGAGTCATATTTGATGGTTCCAACTTCATGGACTGGATAAGGAACATCAGGATGGTAACTCGTTATGAGGACAAGGAATATGTCCTCGATAAGGAGTTAAAAGAGCTTGATGAGTCTACTGCTACTCCTGAGGAGATCGCTGAATTCAGGACACATGAAAGAGATGCTACTAAGGTGGCATGTATCATGATGGCCACGATGACAGCCGAGCTCCAAAAGTCCTATGAGGACTTCTACCCTTTTGAGATGCACCAAGACCTGATGGAAAGGTACCATCAGAGTGCTCGTCAAGAGCAGTATGAAATAATCTCCTCCATAATAACAACCCGCATGAAGGACGGTGAATCCGTCACAGCCCATTTTCGTTTGCTGAAGCTGAATGTGAACTTCCCTGAGGAGTTGGCAATTGACATCATTTTTCACTCCTTGCCTTCTTGTTATGACCATTTTCGTATGACATATCATATGAACAAGGAGGAAGTTACCCTTAGCAAGCTTCAAGGACTCTTGAAGACCGCTGAAACCGGTCTTAAGGGCAAGTTGGTTGTTACCTCTACTACTCCTACTCCAACATCTACCCCTGTTTTGGCTATCAGGCAAGGAAAAGGGAAAAAGTGGAAGCACCCTTCGAGGGTACCAAGGGAAAGTCTCTTGAAGGATCCTCATCAAGGACCAAGAGCGGTTCTGCCACTCCTTCTACCATTCCCAAGGATGTTGATTGCTACTATTGCCAGGACAAGGGGCACTAGAAGCGAAACTGCTCTAAATACTTGCAGGATCTAAAGGATGGGAAAGTGAAACCCACCCCCGCAAGTATTTACACAATAGTGTCTAATAACTCACCATATTCTAACTCTTGGGTGCTTGATACCGGATGTGGTATTCACATATGTTCTGATTTGCAGGGCCTAAGAAGAAGTGAGGATGTGGAGCACGGGAAGATAAACTTGATCATGGGGAATAGGAAGGCTTCACCTGTTTCCAAGATTGGAGTTTATACTTTGTTGCTGAATAATGGGTTAAAATTAGATTTGAATAAATGTGTGTACTCGTCTGAAATGGCGAGGAATATTATTTCCTTTCATGCTTTGTACAAACAAGGTTTTACCTTTTCGTTTGATAATGAATGTGGTGGTATTAATGCTTTCTTTAATAATGTGCTTTATTTTAAAGCATTACCTTGTGATGGTGTGTATGAAACTGTGTCGATTGTAGACAACTTAGGAAATTATGTGTTGTATATTGATTCTTCTACTAGCCTAGATAAGGCATCATTGTGGCATTGTCGTCTTGGACATGTAAACAAGAAACGCATAGGCCAACTCCAAAAGAGTGGAGTCTTGGAGTCACTCGACCTTAAATCGGATGATAGTTGTGAATCTTGTCTACTTGGAAAGATGGAAAAATCACCCTTCACTGGAACTTGTGAAAGGGGTGAGGGTTTGTTGGACCTAATACATACTGATGTATGTGGACCATTCAAAACCGCCACAAGGGATGCTAATCGGTATTATGTGACTTTTATTGATGAATTTAGTAGATATGGGTATGTCTACTTAATCAAACATAAGTCAGAAACCTTGGAAAGGTTTAAGGAATTCAAACAGGAAGCAGAAAATCAATTGGGCAGGAACATTAAAATG